ACCTCGCAGGTTTTGAGGGAGCCTTTTCTCTGGTGACTTTGCAAGGTGCAGGCCTAAGCTGCCTCTAACCTCGACTGTGCTGGGAACCCCAAACAGGGAACCCCAAGAATATAGCAGGAATATAAGAGGAATGTACCTACCAGGGTCCTTATATTCTACTACATTCCTACTATATTCTTGGGGTTCCCTGTTAGGGGTTCCCATTCGAACCCGTGTATTAGGTGTACGTATAGAGAATCATGTGGGGGAATGTAAGGTTTAGGGTCCCAATAGTGGAAAATCAAACGGACAAGAAGAGTGGAAAACGGCTAGGTGCTGATGAGGCTAGGATAAGAACCCCAAAGTGTATAAAGGATCCTGAGGGCAAGAACCAGAAATCTCTCATGAATACTTATTCAACCCCAATGTCCATTTCATCTTCCCTGTTCCATTTGATTTTCCACTATTATAACCCTAAACCCCAGGCCCTAAACCTTAGACCCTATGCTCAACAAGATGTGTGCAACCCTACGGGACCCTCTACAGAAATGCCTTCATTGTGGTGCCATCATGTGGCAGGTAGATAGGCAACCCCACAATGTTGGCGTATATTAACTTAGCTAAAATGGGATCTACACGCCGTTACCCCTCAACTTCCCCAAGCCCCAAAGCCCTGATCTTCAGGAATATGAGGAATGCTTGGGCAGTAAACCGTCAAGAGAACTAAGGAGTCGGTGAACTTTGTTTGCCATAGCTACAGCCACAGGTCATCCCTGAATTCCATCAGATGTCATCAGGGCTGTACATTACTTAAAGGGCCACGGGGACTTGATATGTAGGTTAATAAGAGGGATAATTTGGGTTGTTATATGGCTTATAGGTATAGGGGCTATAACCTATTGACAGTGCTAAGTCTTCCTGACCCTGCAAGTTGCTGCAGCCCATATCTGGAAGCTTTGTACACTCCACAGCAAACCTTCTTAAGGGGCTTAGGGTTCAGGGTTAAGGCTTGAGGGTTTAGGGTAGGTATATGTTATTATGATATATATTTAGGGCCCAACAGTGGTTCCCATATAAGTACTTCAAGGCCGTAGCATATACCAATTAAGCTATAATCTAAACTCCTGGTGTCCCCCGTCGTAACCCCTATAATTCCCTATATAACTCTTTCAAGGAGTTTAGATTATAGTACATAGCTACATGGACCCTTGGGGAATCAAGAGAACCATTCCGCTCAGACCGGATGAGCTTGATGAAAGCCACAAGCAAAACACAGGAAAATCTGCAGTCCGTTGAGACCCGACAAGTTGCTTGGCTTGAGGGACAAAGTGATCTACCAAGAAGAGTCAGAAGTGAGACTTCTCAAGATTGGGAGTTCCTTGTTTGTCTGTTTAAGGAATGATACCTGGGCTGTACTGCGTTTCTATTGAGGTTCAAATGTCTGGATCCTTTTGGGGGTCCATTTGTAGTTGGGCTTAACGTGCAGTACGGCAAACACACAAGCATAAAGGAAACACAAGCTGTAGAGCAGTACATGAAAAGGAAACTAGGCTTTATTTCACAGTGTCCAAGTATTCATTTGGTACATGCTACTGCCCCAGTTTTTGTTTTGTATATGGGAGGTTCCAAACATGATCTTTCTGTAATCCCTACTGAGGACCCCCCAAAACCTCTACAATCCATAGGCTCTATAGCAGCCTGCCTTTTTGATAAATGGCAATCTTGCATACTTTGTCCTACTTGGAGCTCAAGGTATAGGATCTGCGCCGGGGATATTCGAGATTTACAGAACCGCAGGTCAGAGCTTATACTAGACATGCTAGGTACTGCCTGAAGTCCACACATTTCCATTCGCTTGCTCACGAAACAGATATCAACGTGAGCCCATGTGAGAAGTCAGCGTTGCATGGGTGGCAGCACATTTGCGCTCGCGATTCTCTTCCACTCATAGAACCGTCCCCGCAGCGGGCGTTGCACGGAAAAGCCTCATGTAGAGCGCAAGCCCTTTATGACACTCGGGCCAAGGAATGCAACAAAGCATTGCAGTTTCTGAATAGCGTCGCATACAAGATTGGCCTCACACCTTGGGCTTCTTCCGAGCATGTTGTGGTACAAATGAGCTCCGGGTTTAGGCTTTAGGATGGTTTAGGGCTTCAGGAGTTTACCTATGACTACCACTATTCTACCCCTTACACCGGGTTTCTAGAAATAGCTCAAGCTACTTGAGGGGAGCCTAAGGGGGGTTAAGTATATGTGGGGGAACTGGTGGGAGTACCTAGCAGTCAAGTTTGAGAAATAAGAGGCTCCTAGTTTTTTATTTGCGTTAGGGTCTAGGGTTTTTTAAGCGCACGTGTGGGGGTACGATCCTATACGACCACACATTGATATCAGCTTGAGGTCCAGCTTTTGGCACTTTTATAGTCCCACCTCGCATCCTTGGAATACTTGAGGGTGGTTGTCAAAATTATGGTTCCCTTTTGGGACCCGGCACCTAATATTTAGGGTACCAAAAAGGGACCATCATTTTGAGAACCACCCTTGGGGTGATTACCAAACCTTTTTTCCAAGAGGCCCAAGCCGCTTAGGTTGGGGTTTAGGGCTTAGGGTTTACCTGAACCCCAAAAAATATGTAAAATGATGGCCTCCATGGCTACTATTATGGGTTTAGGACTATTATTTTACATACTGTTGGGGGACCATGTAATGTATATGTTGAAAGCTCAGATGTCTTGGGTTCTCAGGGCTTTCATTCACCCTGAACCTGCAGGGTCGTCGACAAGTTCGACATTAGCTTCCCTGCGCGACGTGGTTAAAAGGTTCAGGGTTTAGGGTGAAATGCCCTACCCTCCGCGGAAATAACATGCAACCCCCATATAGCCCCTTTTGAAAGGAGGTAGATTTTTAGAGAGCTTGCATGTTAGTTTGGGGGAGTGTAAGGCTGTCAGGGCTGTCCTGGGTGTAGGGTTCAGGGGACAAATGTTGACGTCTCACCAAGAAAGTCCAAGAGGCTTTGGCACGTCTTTGTGTCAATAGCTGTTCAGAGTTCAGGCGCAGGGTTTGGGGTTCAGGAGTGAGGGTTTGCCCTTCACCTGATTCCTAAACCCTGTTTTCTGATTTTCTGTCCTGCCCACTCAGTTTAGGCTTTTAGGTTTCGGGCGGGGATAAGTTCTTAGGAGTTCCGTGAATGGCGCAGGCATGTTGCGTGCTCAAGGGAGATGTTAGCCTCTCTGTTCTGGTCATACAGACCTCTCGCACATACAATCCTTTTAAAATCCTATTGATGACAACCAGAAACTCCTAGTCATTTCTATATGGTAGTTTCCCAAAAGAAGGGGACCCCAATATAGACCCCAAAATATTATAGTTCTTGTTATAGGGACCCCCAAAAAGGTACCCCTAATTTTGGGAAACCCCCCATATATGTACCCCTGGGGTCCGAACCACGAATCCTAAACCTAAACCCGGGGATTCCGAGTATATAATATTGGGACAATAATGGAAAAGAAAATGGAAACCATAGGGATTATAGGGTTTATATAGGGGTTAAGGGTATAGGTAATATAGGGATAATGGAAAAGAAAATGGAAGCGAGTATAAAACGGCTTGGAAGACAGGACTCCAAGCGCAACCAAACCCATAAATGACTGAAGCTCCAGATATGACTGAAGCTCTACTCCCTAGACTAGAAAAAACCCTAAACGCCTAAATCATAAACCCTAGACAAGGTTGATCTCAACTAACGAAGGAAGTGCCCTCGAGCTTGGAACATCTCAGCCCAAACCCTTCAAACCTTGGGTTTAGGGTTTCAGGGAACGGTTTAGAGCTTAACCCCCATTTAGATCCGATGACCCCCCGAAAACGCGATCAAAACAGCGTAGCTGAATGTATGGGGCTTCGTTCTCGTAGAATCCCTGAGGGGAGGCTGGCCCTAGCAAGTTTGATGCCATCTCGAATGTTCAGGTTTTAGGGGATCAAGGCTTCCTGGAACTCAGCAGCATCGTATCAGTAGTCCCCACTCTTATTCGTCATTTCGGGTCCTACGCTAAACCCTAAACCCTATACCGCATAAGTGGACGGCATATTCAATATTGTGGGGTCTGGAAGACCTCTTCAAGAGGTTAAAGAGGCTAGGTAGGCATGAGCCTGCCACCCGTACTTGGCGTTTAGTGTTTACAGGTCTAAGGTCTGCAGCCTTAAGGGGTTATAGGGGATTTTACCCTCAATAATGGAGAATCAAATGGAAAAGAAAATGGAAAATGGCATGGAAACTGGGATTATATGGGATTCAAGGTCTATGTCTGCAACCTAAAAGGTGCATAGGGATTATTAGGGTACATATTTGGGTTATATGGCATATGGAGAAGAACATGGAGGCTACAGGGATTATATTGGGGTGAAAAAAGGGATTGTTAGGGTATGTATTGGGGTTATACAGGGATAATGGAAGCTCTAAACCCTAGACCTTAAACCCTAAGCCGTGAATATTCTGCATCTCCACCGAACCGCTCAGGTATCATCCGTACAAGGACTTCCGATCCTGGATGCAATGTCTGCTGCTAAGAGTGGTGCGTGCAAGTTCCACCGGATTTAGGGTTTAGGGTTGTATGGCATCCGTAATGACAGAGGCTTTCCACTTTTGACTGGAGGCTTAGGTCAATCCCCCCTCTAGTAATAGCTCCTTAATATGGACTTAATAAGGCCTTAATATACCTACAATAGTCCCTTGTGGTACCCATTACTGGGTGGGGGATTGACCCAACTGGAGGCTTTGGAAATATCTGGGGTTAATTGCAGTCTGTTACGGGGCACGAAATGAGTCACCCGCGCTCAAACTCTGTTGTGACTACATAGTTGAATCTGACCCGCAGGCTTGTGGGATTTAGAAGTTCCCCAAAATTAGGAGTACCATTGTGGGGCCCCCCATAATGAGGATTATGTGGTCCTCCTATTTAGGGTAACTGGGGGTTGGAAGGGGACTGGCGTTTCTATGCTTGATACTCGGTTAGGAGTTTAGACTATAGCTTATGTAGGTCTTTTGCTGCACTTTCCGACCATTGAAAGCCTTCGGGGATTCGGGTTCTATACCTTAAGTGTCCCACGTAGCAAGCCTAAACCGTAAAACCTAAGACCTAAAGTCTTGAACATCGCAGATCGAATAGATAAGAGAATGGAAGCTACTGTAGGGGTTGTACAGGGTTTACACCAAATATTAGGGTTCAGGGGTTAGGGTGTAAGGTTTAGGGAGGAAGGAGAACCAAATGGAAAAGAAATAGGAACATGAACGGAAACTGAGAAAAAGCAGAGGCTTCTAGGGATGTTTGAAGCCTGAAGGTTTTCCACTGTACTTCCCTTAAAGCAAAAAAAGATGTATAGCGGTAGTACAATATCCCTCTACGAAATCCATTCTCAGTTGAGGTCTCTCGGACTCAGGTCTTCATTGGGTACGGGTAGAATCTAGCCCCTCTGAGACCCTAAACACAATACCTTAAATCGTAAGCCCTACAACCAAAATCCTCACAAGGGGTACTGAGCGATGCCTTACCAAGTGAGAGTCTTGCGGGTGCCGAAGAGGTGTTGCCAGAGGCTGAAGCGCAGGTCCTGCTGTTCCAGGGCAAAGCACGTTGAGTTATAGGCTAACAGGTGCGCTGTGACCTAGGGGACATCTTCATGCTGTGGAGAAACGGCGCAATGGAAAATATACAAAATCCTAAACTCAATTGGAGGAGTCGCAATGTTGGGGGATACATACCTTTTTTGGGGCTCCCGTCAATAAAAGACTATCGTAATTTTGGCCTCTATTAAGGTCCCCTCTTTTGGAAAACTACCGAAGCATGATGCCCTACACATTTCTGCAACCCCTCTGTGATGCCACTCAAAAGAACCCCAATTTTTACAGCCCTAACCCCCCAAATCCCGGACCATACACTGTGAACTCTAAGTCCTCTAACCTCCGAGGGAAGATGAGCGCTTGACAAAATCAACTAATTGACCCCAAAGCCTAAAACCCTAAGCCCTCAACCCCAAA